GTTGCTGTTCGGTGATCGTGTCTGGGTGTGAATCGCTTCCAACGACTGACCACTGGCGTTCTTCGAACACACCAAGGAGCATGCGGTGATGCGCTGTCCGACCGCTCTGTCCGACCATAAAGCAAGTGTTTAGGATGTTTGCACCAAATGACGCGCCATGCAAGGCGACGACATTGCTTTTTCCCCTTTGACAGACGCCACCACGCGCTACAAGTAGTAGCGATGTATCTGTCGTACTTGGATCCCACAGCCGCGATGGCACCAGTGTATCGCACTGCAGGTGCCGTTGCGGCTGCAAAGACAGCTCATGACCAGCAAATGCTGTACATCCCACTGCTGTGGCGTCTTGGTCATCCGCTTCTTTTGATGACGAGGCGTTGAGCGCGCCACTTGCAGAAATGACAAGAAGCGTCCCCTCGAGGTGTGTCGTCGCGCCAACATACAGAAGTACAGTATCAATCTGCAAAGCCATCCAAATATGCCATTTTCAGTGTCGTTGAGTGGCCCCTTGGTTGTGGCGCTAACGAGAGCGTGAAAAAGGTACTAGTACATTCTAGATACGAAGGATGCCTTGGGTATTCCTGTACCGTCCTAAGCACTAGAGAGGGAGTGTGTCGAGGATGCCCTTCAATGTCGTGTTGCGATCGTCTATCACCTTTTGTCTGGTGGATTCATGAAGCAGAAGCGTCGTAGATGTGCTCCAAGCTGCAAGCGTAGCGGCAGCGTTTAAATAACGTTGAAAGAAAATGCACGTAGCGGGTACACCGTGGTCGTCTTTAAAGAGACGACGTCGACAGCTTGTGCGCCGTGATTGCCTGCAACCCCTTGTCACCGGCTCGTTTTCAGCCCCGTGGGATCCCGACCTGGGACCAATTCCTTGCCTGGAACCAAGCGCAAGGCTGCAGGACATTGACCGACTTGGCGCTAAACCTAACAAGTCGTAGACTGATACTCGTCGTGGACCAATCACGTGTGGCGCGTCCACATCACATGTGCTGCTGTGCGGTACAAAAACGTGCGTTTCAAACAGACCAATCACAGCGCTTGGCAATGGGATCTTTTGGTGCTGCTGGCGATCGTGCATTTTGAGATCACCAAAAATCGGAGTGCACTGGAATTTGGCGAATCTGGGGATGTATGATCGTGCCGCGATTTTCATTCAGGAAAACAGTCAGACTAAAGCGAATACGTGCCATGAACACTGTGTGGCGTGAGGTGCCACAACTGCTGTACAAACAAACGTTAGGCACGGGAGTGGATTCGTACGAACACAGGTTGTGTGACGTCCGCAGTTACTGGAAAGGCTGAGAGAATGAGAAATAAGAATCGATTGATCAATGACCCTAAACGCAGTCGCAAGACAGTTTCGAGCCGATCGTGGAGTACATTGCATGCAAGACCTCTATAGAGAGGTTCCTTATAGGTTGGCACATGTACATGCATGTGCAATCCGATTTTTTCTTGAAAGACCGAGCTACTTACTACACTGCTGCTTAGTACACACTACTGTGTACTAAGCAGCAACCGTGTTGATGACGTCAAAATTGTCCGTTTTGTGTTGGAAGTAGTAAATGGAGTCAACGAATGGGAGCGAACAATGCTGCTGGAAATGTCGGGTCCATGACGTGCTGTTTGTGTAGAAAGGTACTTCACGAAAACAAATTACTGAGTTACCTCGCGACTGCCTCGCGACCAACTAACGACCGACCAACGACCTCCTCTCAACCTACGTGACTACTTGATATAATGCTAGGACTACGTAGTTATACATGGAGTATTACCTCCTGTCCAACTCGAGTGATGTGTACTAGTAAGCTGTACCATACCGCACATTCGTGCATGGACAACGCGTCCATTTTCTTCTTGGAACGTTCCCCACCTGGATTGCATTTGCGACACATCGCAAAAGGCACAAGTTGTCCATTACACCGCCTGTCGCACACATCGCATGCATGGCAGTGGACCGATCCATGCGATCGAGCCGCTACCTGCTACCGGTATACGGGTACCGATGTTTCGTAAGACGTGAGACCCGCCGTCGGTTCTATTCTTGCACCCGTGCGTACAGGGTGCGACGCTCGCCAAACGCATCGTTTGTTGGTTCTCCGTGCAGCCCGGCCTGTTTTTGGTCCTTCGAGTGCCGATCTTCGCAATCACTGCGTGATGCACGCTACAGGATACCCTTCCGAGAACGCTCCGCTCGTGCAGACCCGGATCGGCAACTCGCCAATCACTCCACATTTTCCATTTCCCGAACACGGAGCGCGATCATGGTGCTCGTATCTCGACCGACAGCGCTGGGTCTCTTGCTGCACGCGGCGGTCGCGGCAGGTGCACTTACCTGCGTCCGTGATCCGTCCATCAAAAGCGCCGTCGGCAACTGGTGCATGTGCCAGCCGTGCCATCTCTGCGAATATTCGCTCTTCAAGGGGTGCCAGCCCATGACACAGAACGCCATTTCGCTCTCGAACGGGTCAGACATGCCCTCCAAGCAGCCGATTGTGGACCCGGCGGCGTGGTTTCTCTCTGAAGCCGAGCTCACGCGCAGCCGCGGCGGCGTGCCCCGGTCGTCGCTGGCGACGGCGACATCCGGTAACCTCGTCGACGTCTACCCCGACACGAGCAGCGCGTTTGCAGCCATGCACGACGACGTCGCG